AATCAAAGCGACAGAACTTCTCTTTGGGGGAAAAAATCATCGCAACTAAGATGGGAGCTCTGGCACTGAAGTATGCTTGCTCGCATGTGAGAGTTAAAAGATCCACTAGGAAAAGGGAAGTTACAATGACTGCCCAGGCCGCTCAAGCCTTCCCTACATTGAATTTTATTTCTTACTGAATGGGAAAGCTAGCATTAAGAAGATCAAAAGAAGTATTGAAATGAATGTATAAAGTTCCAGTTAAAGTTTCACTCAACATTATTGTAAAGTGCAGAAGACGTCCGCTGGACATGCTTCTGAGCAATACTGAAAAAAGCAAATGTCCGCCTCCTTCTCACTTGCAGTTATACACTCCAAGAGCAGATAACTCCGTTAACATCTATACATGCCTCCTCCCCACCTCCCCCCGTGACCACGGGATGAATTAACGTGGTCATCTTTGGATGCGTCCGAGAACCCGTGCGATTTTCCCCGTATTCGTGGGGACAGACTCCTTGACAGTTGCTTTCTGCGAGATGAGGGTTGTCTTAACGGCGGGGGACCGACCGGCTGTATATACCCTCCTGTGTTGCTTTCCGCTACACCTATAGTGTCGTCCGTTTCCATTTCTATTTCGTCGGGGTGGCTTAGTGTCGTGACATTGATATCCCGTTCAATATCCATCGGCTCCTCTGGAGGTTGTTTCCGTGGGGGCTCTGGATTTGTAGACGGATCTGAGGTTCCCTGTGTAGCAGGAGGCGGGCAATTCACGACCGGGTAGATTCTGCGGAGAAATCGACCGTTGCGTAGCGTTATCCGACAGCTTCCATCCACTCGCACCTGGTACTGTCGGTTACCATGTGTCTCTACGACTCCCTCTGTCTTTGTCTATCGACGGGGGTATTTACCATCCTGGTTCTGGATTTGGACTGAGTCTCTGACTTGAAATTCCCGGAGTGGGCGGCAATGCTGGTTGTAGAACTGTTCTTTTCGCATGTGCCTCTTAGCCATTGACAACTCCCTTAGTTCGCCTATTTCCTTCCACTGATTCCGTGTTTGGTATTTATCCCTTAGGACCGGAAGATGGTCCTTAATGATTCGGCCGTAGAGCATTTACGGCCGGGGACATGCCAAGGTCCTGGACGGGAGTGTTGCAATGGGTCAGCAATGCCCGAGCAGCTCGATTATGACATGGGCGTCCGTAGTTGTCCGTATTGTCGACAAGTATTCGTCTTGCTGTTTTAACGGCTAACTCTGCGCGCCCATTGCTTTGAGGGTAATAGGCCGATGACGTGCATTTCCATATACCCCAGTTTTTCAAAAAGGAGTTATACTCCTGGGATTCGAACGGGGGTCCTCCGTCCGAAGATATTTCTTCGGGTGCTCCATATGTGCAGAGCCAGGTCCTCACAGTGTCGCATACGCTTTTGGCCTTCCCCGATGACATTGAGGCCACTTCCACCCATCCCGTATACCGGTCAGCGTATACCATGTAACTCTTGCCCTGTATGTCCGCAAAGTCCACCACAACTTGTTGAAACAGAAATTCCGGATCTGCTGGTGACATCAGGGGTTCCCTCAAGAAAAGAATTCCATGAATCAGGGGACGGATATACTCGTCGGTTTGATGATATCACCGTAGACATGACTCGAAAAACCCGGTGCATAGATGACAGCCTACTATGGGACGATTCGATAGAATCATCATTCTGGCATACGGTTGAGTACTGCGGGATTGTATTTAACCTGGACAAGTTTCATTTTGCCGAAATGGAGGTAGAGTTCGCGGGATTTCTGGTCACCGACAACGGATAACAGAAGCTATTCTCCACTTCCCTACACCTACGAGTATCACCGGCGTTAGGTCCTGGTTTGGACTCGTGTATCAGGTGTCATATGCGTTTTCACAAGCGGAAGTTATGGCCCCTTTCTGGGAACTATTAAAGGCAAAGAACAGAAAGTTCTATTGGGATGAGACACTGGAACGCCTATTCCAAGAGTCGAAGAGAGTGATAGTGGAGAAAATTGAAAAGGGTGTTCAGACTTTCGAAATGATCAGAGCGATGGGACTAGCAACTGACTACAGTAAAACAGGGATCTCTTATTTCTTATTTCAGAAACCCGGCGAATTGAACATGGGTTGCAGGGGTGGTCACTGGAAGGTTATTCACGGCACACACCAGTGGAAGGAGAAGCCTTAGCCCTTATCTATGGGTGCCCGGATTTGCTAGTGACAGTAGATCATTTACCATTGGTAAAAATAAATTTCGGACCAGGCGCTGGAAAATATTAAAAAACTACGCCTGTTCAACTTCATGATGTACAGATTCCAGATAAAACACCGCCCTGGAAAACTCAATTTAGCACCCGACTGTGCCTCCCGATATCCGGCAGGTACCCCACGAGAAAGCCCTGCCCAAATTATCGACGCCGCAGTCAAAGCCACCTTCACGTCGATGTACGGAAGTGACCCCAATCTGAAGTCTATTGCATGGGAAAGGATTGTCGCCGCGGCGGGCTCTGATGAAGAATGACGGACCATAGCACACGAAATCCAAAACGGCTTCCCCAAATCACGCGACGACCTCCCGCCCATAGTTCGGGTTTTCTGGCCCATACGCGAGAAATTATACTTATTTGGAAGGAGTAACAGTCGAAGCCAATAAAATCCTGTTCACAGCGCCATGTAAAGTGCAGAAGACGTCCGCTGGACATTTATACACTCCAAGGGCAGATAACTTCGTTAACATCTATACAATTACCTAAACGAGAAAATGAAAAATCACAAAAATCTTCGCTGAAATTATTTTGAAGTGGGGAGGAGGAATAGATATTATTAAAATTAAGTAAAAAATGTCTTCCATAACTATACTACTATGTCAAAGTTTTCTACGCCTTTTCATTCCATTAGCAGAAGAAAATAAATAATTAAATAAATAAAAACACAAAATTCAAAATTAGCAAATTTAAATTAATTAAAATAACTCTCAAAAAGAGAGATGACACGACCAGCTCAACCTTCAAGTTAACAGTTCATACTGGGATTACAATCTCAGAGAACAATTATTTTCAGTGCGCCTAAATGTTTAACCTGCTAATCTAGAATCAACTCCAATTTTAAAAAATCATGTTTGTATTTTATTTAATGTCCAAGTCATTGTTGTGTCGGTAACTGTTCGCTAGAGTTAACTCACTGCCTTGCAGGTACATAAATTAATGCGGCTAGACCTGTTTATGGTCTAACTGGAATGTCAAGTTACATATTTAGGTTTGTCGTCATTTTTTAGAGATATAATGGATAATTGAGCTCACACGTTACTATTAATTTCTCGATAAGTTATTACTGATCTCAGTCAACGTCACCTGAGAAAATATTTCATTTCGGTAATTTCAGATCTGGGTATGTGCAACTTTGAATGGGATAGAATTAGATGTTCAAGTCAACAGTAAATGTGATGACATAGAGGTCTGTGCGAGCAAACATTAAGTCAGCAGGTGCTATTCATCACAGCCTATCATGTATCGTTATTCCTCTTCTTTCTTGACGCTAATTACTTCTCTTCTAGAAGTAATTAGCGTCAAGAAAGAACAGGAATATACAAGTCGCATTACAAGAATCTTTGCTAAAATTAAGATGAGTCATAATAGCAATGAGGAGAAATTAGAATAGAAAGATTATGATGTACCAATTTTTCATTCAACCTACTTTAGAAATTCGGAATTCCGGTTTTCACTTCATTTCGAACCTGAATCAACATGCAACCATTTCTACTCGTAAGCAAACTTTTCTCGTTTATTTAATAGGAATGTGCAATATCTTTCCGAAGGAAAAAAAAACGATTTTCAACAATGTATTCAGTTTTTACAAAAAAGTACAAAGAATATTTGCGCACGATTGTTGAGCAGCATTGAGAATGAAAGAGGCGGGAGATGTAAGTCATTGAGTTGACTTTCGTCAATAAAGTTGTTCATTTTTTTCTGGTTTCCTTTCGAGGTGTCAGTATATCAAGCCCTCACCCTTCAACAACAAGGCTTTTGAATAGAAAGGTGCAAGGCCTATACCTAATTTTTTTCACGTCGCATGACTAATGTTTTCTTTGCTGCTACCTGCTATTCAGACATACTCGACACGCATTAAACATATTTACTAAATTTCCCATACACGGATATAGGACTTGAGCACACGAGAGTGGCTGTTGCCTGAGAATTTAACATGCTATTCATTAATAGACATTTATTAGCCTTACATTTATTAACCTTACTTTAGTCTGGTATAAATCTACAAAGGTGAGCCAACCTTAAAGATATTTACTAAGCTAAATTCAATCTGTTACAAAATCACAAGTGAAGATCGAAATTACTAGAGAATTACTGACTATTGGTTTTCTATTCATTGCTATACGACAATTGTTATTGACGTAGACTGGCACAAGACCACTAATGTTGAGCGTCCAATTAAGATCGAATCCAATGCGACTGCAAACGTACAGATGAGAAATAATGACTCGTAGGCCGCGTGTTTTAGGTTCCCTGTTCTATGTTGTTAAGTAAGCTCAAAACAAACCACATAGAAAAACGAAGAACGCCACAATTTTATTTTACTTTATTTAATTTTTATTTTGATCAGTTTTGTTTACAATGTTTGATAATCACAACAATTCATTATCATCTTTTCAGTATGGAAAAATAATTAAAATCATAGAACAATTTTTACTTTTATTTTTCGAACGCCGGTAATAAAATTGTTTGAAATTTGATGACTCATTATTAATTTCCCATGAGTAATTCAGACATGTTTTATTTCTTGTTTGTTTTATCTCTCTATTGAACCAGGTGTTTTTTCTGTCTTCTTCATCGTCTACATTTCTTAAAAGAGTCATCACCATTAATAATGCACGTGTTGATCGAACTAATATTGTAATCCTTTCCTGCTTTTATCACTTCAGCTGACATTCCTTCGTACAGTCAGACATGCTTCTTATTATCGGTGTGACCAGCATTAATCTTTCTCTCTACAGAAGTTAGCCCCCTAAAAATTGAACATTAGAGAAGACATAATTGAAAATGATATGATAAAGTCGAGTCTAGCTAAACATATTCGGAAATTAAAATTAAGGGTACACATTATCGTCTTTGCAATTAGGCCTATGTAGAAAAACTCACTGAAGATTGTGTAGAGCAAAGAAAGCTGCTTATATGCATCTTATAAAAAGTTGCATAAATCATACCATTATAGATTTCAAAGCAATGTAAGTATCTATGTTTAGTAAAGAATAAAACCAAGCAATTGCAAAATATCTCCATTGTCTTTTATCAATAGATTGAAAAGCTTAATACAATAATAAGTAAAATATATTGAGAAAATTAGTAGCCATATTTTTTCGGTTCGTCTATTCAAATCTACTCTTGGGTGACCTATTATTGGTCACCCGAAATCGTTACATTGGTAACTTTTTTTCTGCTATTCTTCCTCTTTAATGTGTCGTGTCTCTTCAGTTCGGTTGGCGATCATCATTCTCCGCAATTTCCTGTCCTTTGTAGCTCTTACTAAATTTTGTCTTTTTGTTATCTCTCATAAAACCTGTTCTGTCACCAATTTACACAAGTTCGCTTGGTAGGCTATGCGTTGTTTTCCTCAATCTGTCCTGTGAGTATCAAATTTTCCAAATACTCTCTCCTCAATATGTGGCCTAGATTTTTAACTGTTTTATTCTGATGTTAAGTGAAAGTGTCCTTTTGGCTTCCATTTTCTCTAAATCTTTGTTGTTGATCACATAAAATCGGTCCACGAGATTCTGAGCCTCCTTCTGTAGAATCACATCTCTGTTGCTTCAAGTCTCTTCTTTATCTGTGAGGAGAGTATCCAGCATTCACTGTCATATTAATTAACAATCCAATACTCTTTTCTTTGCTTCTAACCAAATTTGCTTAGCTTTTGAAAGGCAACTTTTGCTAGCCCAATATGCATTCGGATTTCAATATTTCACTTTCTCCGTTAAAATACTTCTCAGGTATCTAAATTGTTGTATTTGATTGATTTTGGTATCTCCAATTTGTAATTCACATATTGGGATGTTCTTTTTGCTGACAACCATGCATTCTGACTTCTTGCAATTGATGTTAATCCTTTCTTCTCCCTTTTCTCCACTAACCTCTGTGAGAAAATATTGCAGTTTCCCTTCTGTATCTGCTATCAACACTATGTCATCTACATATCCTATGTTGTTAAGATTATGGCCGCTAATAACAAATCTTAGTAGAACTTCTAATTCTCTTAGAATTGCCTCGCTGTATAGGTTGAATTAGTCCAGTTAGAAGACACATCCTTGTCTTACAACCTTTTCTATTTTTGTAGATTTACTGAATTCATTTTCTATCCAAATTCAGGCGGTTTGCAGCCACTATAGATTATGGATTATTCTAATATCATCTCCAAATATGTCCTGGCTACCTAGAAGTTACAACAGTTCTTTGTGACGTACTTATCAAATACTTTTGCATTATCTATAAAAGGCAGGTAAAACTCCTTCTGCATTTTTATTGTTCTTTTTAATATCATTATGAACATAATTATAGCATTTCTTGTTCTAGTGTCTTTAACGAAACTGCACTGTTCTTGTCCTATTTCCAGTCTATTCATCAGAATTCGGATGATAAGTTTTGTTATATGGCTCATTAGGCGACGGAGTCCATATACGTTTGCACCTGGCTATGAAAATGGATCAATGTCGAAATCATCTAAGACTGTCAACATCGCTTACAATTCCGTCGGGTGCTGCTGCTTTGTTTCTGTTTAATTTGGACCATGACTGATTTCATTTCAGATTTTAATATTTCTGGTCCTTCGATATTTCTGTATATTGTCGGTGATACTCTTATATCGTGCAAGAGTTCTCCGATGTATTGGTTCCCTCTCTGAAGTATTTTTCTTTAATATCAGTGCGCCATCCTTGGATTTTATGCATCTTGCTGATGAGTATGTCTTTTGTCCTGTTTGTTGTCTTAATTTCTTTATGCATATCTGTGATACTCATTCTTTCTATTTCTGCACATTATTTTTCGTTGCACTTGTTCCTTTTTTTTTGGTGCGTTGTCCTATATTCTGTGCTGTACTCTGTCAATTATTCGTTTCCTTTTTATCGTGTCGAGAATTTCATTTCTCACCTATTTCTTTTTTCTTTGTCAAGTTTTCTTTGGGGTGATCTTCATTGTTGATTTTACTTCTCTTAATGTGTCCCACTTCGAGTTTCTCTTCCCATTTTTTACATTGTATCTGTTTATAAATAGTTATTTACGAAGACTCGCTTAATCTCTCAAAAGGCCACAGTATATAGTTGAACAATCAGTGAGGACCGAACTCACTAACTGACGACATGATCTTCGAGACAACCAAATTCACTAACCATCATGTTATAGTAGATGTTTCGTTTTTTTTTTAAACTGGAAATGTGGTTATTAGTATAATTAGCTTAATGTAATCGGAGTGGGTGACTCAAGATCAAATTCACTACTCTAGTGAATAACTTTGTGAGACAAACCCACTCACAATCACACTACAGTTGACGCCTTATTGTAAAGGAAGAGAAGGAGGCGGAGTATTTTCGCTGTTATTATTATTATCAGTATTATTATTATTATTATTATTATTACTATTATTATTATTATTAGTGGTGGTTCGTAAACAGCGCTCTAAAATTATGATTTGCTTTCATTTTTTATATTAAAACTTTCCGAACGAAACAACCTGATTCGGCCAAATGCGTATACTTGTTTAAAACCTTATTTAATAAGACCAGCTGGACGTAGGTGGGGGAGGGAGATATGCTATCGTATCACCCTAAACAATGCGATGGCTTCGATGGAACGATGGGATTTATTTTGTGATTTTTTTATCGCTTAAATTTTATAACAAATATTGTTTCGATAGCAACGACCCTTACGAATATATTGATTAAAATACCCAAGTATAATCCTACCAAAATATAGATGATACCGGGGTTAAATTGTGTAGATGGCTTACAAACTTAATGTCAATTTGAGTGACCTAGAAACTGGTCAAATTTAGAAGTAAACTGATTTAGAAAAAGGTTAATATGATTTGAAGATCGAATTCAATAACTTACGATGATGAATGAAACATATTTTGATTTCTCGTGAGTATTTCAGGTAGTTTGAATTTGTAAAAATAAAAACTACATTGACTTTTAGATTTATCTAAAGAGATTTCATTGTATACAAAAGGTCATAATGATAGTATTTTGCATAGATAATATTTTATTATTTACTTTTCCTCCATCAAATTATTGGTGTTGATTTTTTTGTAATATTTTTTTGTTTTTTGTTAATAAGGTCAAAATATTTTTCCATTGCATAAGTAAAACTTGTAATAAAATAATGATGAAATTTTTTAGGGGAGGCAATTATTTTAATTCTTTATTTTATTTAATTTTTTTAGCAAGTGGCTAAAAACACTGTGGTGAATCATTTTTAAGGGCGGTTTGTTTTAATTATTCTGCTATTTAAAATTTATTTTTTACGTTCTTCTTCTTTAAAAGATTCATATTTTGTTGGTCCAACCTCGAAGACTAACTGGAAGAATGATGTGATTTCATCTAGAAAATAAATAAAAAAATATATCACATGACATGTCAATTGTACAAAAGTAAAAACAATAGAAATAAATAATCAATCATTCAGTCATTATTTCATTAATTGTTCCAACAAGTATCATCATTATTGTTGTTTTGTCTTCTACTTTGCACCTGATTCTCACTCCGGTCTAAAATGTATTATATATATATATATATATATATATATATATATATATATATATATATATATATGTATGTATGTATGTATGTATGTTTGTGTGTGTGTTTATGTGTGTGTGTATGCATGTATACACGTTGATTCGTTGCTAATAATTAAGCCATCCAATACTTTGAAACAAATTTTAGTCTAGGTAAAAGAATAAACTAAAATCAAATGAAAAAGATTTATGACTCTTCAAAATTTCGAATGTATTTTTCAGCATAACCACCATCTTCCCAGAACCTCTATTCACTTTTTTCTTGACATCCACAAAGAAAGTTTCTATTTTACTTTGATCCAACTTCTGGCATATCTTTGACTTCACTGAATGAAAAATACTAAACTTTCAACGCCGTATTTACTTTTGGCAACAAACAAGTTTGAGGGTGTGAAATTAGGGTAATGCATAGCGTGTGCAGCCACTGTGACTTGCAAATAGGATAGTCTGCAAGTCACAGTGGCTGCACAGGCTTATTGACAACAATGTGGTCATGCTGTATTGTGATACAAAAATATTTCTCTTTCTGAATTTAGTTCAATGTTCGTAAGGTTTTGCAATATGTTACCGAATGTAATCGCCATTCGCGTTCGAATTAATATCTTTGCATATAAAAAATATCGTGAGCATAATTTTCTGCTCTGAAGGAACTTTTTTTAATTGCCTTACTGCCGGAGCATTCGACGATATTCTACATATTGCTTTTTTCTATTCCGTGTCATAATGATGGACCTGAAATTCCTCATCCTTGGCGATGCTCACAAGAAAACCATTCCTATCCTCACAATCATATCGTTTGAGTTCTACTGCTCTTTTTTTTTCGTCAATTTTTGTGACACATTAGGCACAGAACCTTCTATATTTTAACATCTAAAAGAAATGCTGAAGCCTTCCTTAACTCTTTTCCTGTTTCAGAGTAATGTCCCATCTCTGTTCTTCAATCATGATATTTTCTTTGACTGTCCTTATAACTCACTAATTTATTCGTCATCAAAAACATTTTCCTCTTCTGCATCAGATCGAACTCATGCTTCAAAGCAATCTTCAGATTCATGTCTATTGTGTTTTGGCTCGACTACTTATATATGTTGTTCAGTGGTGCATTATGGGTAGTAATGTCTATTGTATTATTCTGATGGTTATGTTTCAAATTATTCTTAATTCGATTCCAAGTATGAATAGTATGGGAACTGAATTAAGTTAACAAACTTTTACCCATTATTTATTATTGATTCCTTAATTATTTCTTATTTCTTATTGATTATTATTATTATTATTATTATTACATTTACTTATGTTTATGTGTTCATTTGTAGTTTGTTAATTTGTTTAGTTATTTAAATTTTTCCGGTGGTTATCTTATTTATTTAGTTTAAAGTATTGGCTTTGTATAAATTATCTGAGTTATATATATATATATATATATATATATATATATATATATATATATATATATATATATATATATTTTTATTTTTTCATATTAGTTTCTTACAAGGATTTCGTTTTCGGTTTTCAACTTTTAAGTAACGTCATAAAAGTTTATTTTCGTGTTTGTATTCTGAGATGGATTCTGATCGTTTATTTAATAATCTGTTTTGTTCTGGGAAACTAATTATAATTATTTTCTCCTCCAAAGTCTACAGATACTTTTTTTTATTTATAGTTGTAAGCTGATGCCGTTTTCCTTATTTAATTGACCGGTGAACTGTTGTTTTTTATAATGCCGGTTGTTTGTTGAAACATGTTAAAATAGAATTTTTTGTAACGATTTTATATGAAAAGAAGAAGGCTTGATAATTTTTATATATATATATTTACTATTACGTCAGATTTAAAATTTACTCACATATTTATTTGTTTGTGTGTGTGTGTGTGTGTGTGTGTGTGTGTGTGTGTGTGTGTGTGTGTGTGTGTGTGTGTTTGTAAAGTGTAAATCCAACTCACCCATGTAAGGAGGGTACCACTTGAAATATACAAAAGGGAAGTAAAATATGAGTCCACCAATGGTTATTAGAAATGCATACAGAAGTCCGATTTCCGGGTCTTTGACGATTGGTGCAATCACAAGATAAATGGATATTATCAACATAACCACTGGGATGAGAATAAATACCTGCAAATAAAAAATTTAAAAAACATAACATATATTTATTAGTATTATAAATAGTAACGTTTTACGTCTTTTGATTCCATCTTAATTGCAATTGCTTTTTACCTTAAAATTTTACATCGATCAGAAATAAACACTTAAATATATTCTTTATCTTGTACTCATTTCTTTCCGGGTCCCGACCAGAGATCTAAGGTTAGAAATGGCATCATGACATTTTTAACTGAAAAGAAAAAAATCACACATATTTTACATAGATAAAGCTTTTCGAAAGGTGTGGTCTGTACTCGTGAGAATAATTTCTTTGTATTTCTTTAAGGCATGGACTAACAGAAATCCCTTCAATGAGTCTATTGGAATCTTTTCCAATCAATTTGAGGGCGCCAGATACAACTGGAGTTGGTAATGTCCTCATGTGCCACATTTTTGAGATTTCGATTTCAAGGCCCTTGTATTTTAATACTTTTTTTGAATATCTTCAAAGATACATTGCAGTCTGCAGGGCCTGCCATATCAATAAGGAAGTACTCTTTGTCTTTACGGTCTCTAATCAAAATATCTAGGCGATTAGCTTTGAGTGTTCTGCCAGTGTATATTGTGAAGTTATTATTACTCTTATTATTATTAGCCTTATTATTATTATTATTATTGTAAACCTTGCGTGCATATCTGCCCCAACACTCCAATTCACACCTGAATTCATAGACCAGTTCTACGCTCAAATTAACAGCGTCATCAAATGTATCCAACATAATTATCTTCTGGGAGACTCCAGTGCTAAGGTTGGCTCTAAGAAAATTAACCAAACGTGTTAGGTCATCATGGTGTAGGGAAAATTAATTTTTGCCCAATTAAACATAATTTTGGTTGCAACTTCTCAGAGCGGCATTCTCCGAATGTTAGCAAATAAAGAATAAATCGTAATTAAGACTTGAACACATGTCATTGAACGCTAAAGCAGTTTCGCAGCAAATGTTCCAATAAAAATAACGATTATTAATTTCTCAGCCGAAAATCAAGGATCGGATTGCACGGAATAGACTGGTAGACAAGTATATACAGTGTGGGTAATAGATGATCCGAAAGATATTTCACACTTTTTTTTATCCGTAAAAATGGAACTCACCTTGAATGGTCTGTTCGCATTCTTCTTGGTAAAGCGCATGACAATAAGAGAAAGGAAAGCACAACCGTAGAAGAACCATGCAGTGAAACTGAAGAAGTCAATCAATGAAGAAACGTTGCTGGGAAAAATCATACACAGGGAAATAAAACTCTGATCATCGAAAAAGAGAAAAAGAAAAGAAGAAAGATGTTTTTTTAAATAAAAAGACCAAAATTATATAATAACAAATGAAAAATATTCAGTCATACTGCCATCACCATATTCTTCCTTTGTTGTCGAAGATGTCTTTATCTAAAATGGCTTGTGTTTGACACAGTGAAAGGATTTAATATCGTCCTTGTCTGCCTGGATCCAGAGATATCATCATGACCTCTGGCGACAGACCAGGATGCAATGGATGGTCAAAGAACTCAACGTGTCAAGCAATCGCGTTGCTGCTTCTTTTATGGGGGATCCACTACCTTGTTTAAAATTAGAGTTGGCGGCCTCATAAATTGGTCGCAAGCTAAGACTAAAAAAATCTAGTCTTCCCTACGATTAGTAACTATAACTTGGATTGATTTATGCTTTTCTCAAGGTTATTTATTTATATTTTTCTTTTTCTTTTAATCATTTCACCCCAAGCAAAGAAATAATAAGAAATGCCACTAGAACGCAAGCAGTTGTAAACCCTGGCATTCTAGTGGCACTATGGGGAGTGAAAGTGAAAGAGCATAAGAAGACTAAGAATGAGGAAGATTGAAGAAAAGGATTAAAACGTAACAGGGTGTAAGAAAACACAAGATGTTGATTGACGTTGCATATAAAATTTTGAAGATTGTAGTTATCAGGGAAGCAAGAAATCGGAAGGAAGTTCCATGGATGGGAAGTACGAAAAAAGAAACTATTATAGTAGAAGTGGCGGTTGTATCTAACTAGTACAGCAGTAAAATGGTGTTGTCAACCTAGTTGCACGCTTAAATTCATGTACTCAGCGAACCAGAGAAAAATGCTCATCAGAACATTTGCCATGGAAATATTTGTAGAAAAGGCAGAGGGAAGTCATGTCACGTCGGTGAGAAAGTGACTGAGTCGAGATGCCTGGTCAGGATTGTTTACATTACAGACCCTTCTTTGGATTTTGTCAAGAATCTCGAGATGTACAGCAGAAAAGCCAAACCAATTTTCTGTTTTTTTTACGATAAGGTTTACCCTGTATAAAACCCGATGGCCACTCGAGGGTTACAATAAGTGGTAGGTTATATGGATAGGAGGGGAAGATATCGGTTGACCCTAGACTTGAACAGGTTAAGTTGGGAGTTTGTTCCATAGCGCAGTGGTTTATAGAAAGAATCTGTTTGATTGGAACTTACTTCTCGCCAATGGAGGGAATGTAGATGGTTTGTTACAATGTAGCAAGTAGCATGACATGTCCTAGTCATGTAGGTTAGTCCTGGCGGAACAAAGGAATGTAGATTCGTCCGAGCACTTTCCATGGAAATAGTGATAGATCAGAGAGAGACTTGCCACATCCCACCTGTGAGGGAGAGGTTGGAGGGTGGAAAATAATTCTTCTCCAACAAGGACTCGGAGACGTTTTTGAAAAGTGAGGACTGGGCAGCTCCCGCCCAAATAGGACAACACTACTCCATTTTAGATCTGGCTCTTATTGAGATAGAGGATAGCATGAAGTGTCACGTACTTAGTGGAGCGGTACAGGGAGCCGATAATTTTACCTACATCTTTAGCGATGGATCGGATATGAGTTCTATTGGAAGTCGGTTGTGAGTTTGAGACCCAATATTCTCACGAGGCAAGGGGCCTCCTCGAGAGGACATCCGTTCATCGTGACTGGCCGTAGTTTCGGGTCCGATCGATGTTGATGGAATGTAATTAGTTTGCTTTTCGAGACACTGAATGTAACCAACCAGTTTTTCCCCTACTATGAAGTTAGTGCTAGATTGGAATAAAGGTCAACTGCCAATCTCTGACTCTTAAGAGTTCTAGAGTTTTATATTGTTGTATCATCGACATAGATGTTTACAAATTATCTGAGGCAGATCATTTATGTAAATCAGAAAGAGACTAACAGTATTCAATGCACGAACGAATGGTAGATTTATTGCAAGATGGATTCTAACTTTCTGGCACGACACAGTGAACCATCTTTTCTTGAGGAAGACGTAGCAATTGATTCGATATAATCGCTCCATATCATGTCAGTGGAAAACGTAAGGACAAGAAGGGGTTTGGCATCGGCCATACTGATGGCAGTCAGAAAAGGTTCTCTATGGGGATCAAATAAAAACAGTTTTGTTTTAGAGACGTTAAAATTTAAAAGCCATTTCTTGCCGCAATTAACCATTGATTGGAGGTCCTTTTTGAGAGCAGTTACCAGGTTTACTTTGTCGGGTCTGTCGTATCTGCTGCTAAAAAGAAGTAAATTATTGTATCATCTGCATAAATACCTATTTGACAAAATGATGACATCGGGGAGATCATTGATGGAGATCAGAAATAGCATAGGGTTAAGGATAGATTTCTGGAGGACCCCGCCCCCGCGTTAGTATGAAATGATCTGAAAGCGTGCCCGTTCCTTTACGATTTATTAGGAACGACTGAATAACCAATCTTCGTCCCGTGAAACCGTAGACATTGAGTTTTCATAGAAGCACAGCATGCCAAACCTTGTCGGACATCTTCGAGACAATGTAAATGCAAACCTACCACTTGAACTCGCTAAGCCGGGTCCATTTTGCGTGTTGTTAAGCCACTCGCACCACAACACAAAAATGGAAATAAGAGATTAGCATGGAAAACGGGATTGGCAAATTGTGTTCGAGTTGCAGTTAAGGCTATTTCCTTTCCACTAATCAAACCTTACCAACACTACTTTGAGAAAAAGACAGTGAGTGAGTGAGTGGTGAGTGAGTGAGTGAGTGCTTGAACAAATATCTTTTATAATTATCTCTCCGCTAGTTAAAAAACAATGAAAAAATCTATCATCCTTGACAAAAATCAATCTGCTATATACACATTTTGATAATAACTACTGATGTTGTATTTTTTAATTTAATAATGCCTTCACGTTTATCATTAATTTTTTACTAGATTTATTCTTAATTTCACTTGGTTTTTATCTAGACGCACAGATCGCTATTCTACTATTTTGAATTCAAAAGAAAAATAAATAAAACCCCAATGAGACTCGTAATTGCACAACTTAACCTTATACTCTTTCAATTTTACATTTTTTACAACGATTATTATTGCTTTGTAAAGATCTTGAATATTGATTGACATTCTCATTAGCTTCTCTCTTAATGATGGGCCACAGATTTTCTATTAGATTAGAGAATGAAGAGAATGGCGGTTATTCAATTAATTTAATATCAATCTGTTTTTATTGCATATTATACTTGTAATTATCTCAACCCTTTTTTAGATGCTCATTGCTACTTTTCTACTTACTATCATCTTGCCGATGTTTCAATTCCTTTTAAAAAGATCCATCAAATTGTCTTAATTTCAAATGACTTTTTCCCAATTTCGGTTTATCCATTTGTTTCCAGAAATTTCTTGGGTTCAGAGTGACTTCACTCCCCGTATCCACTTGCATTGGAAACGTCATGCCATTCAATTTAATTTTTTCAAAAGAATTTTTTTCCTTAGGTTTTTATATTGAAAAACATCATCAATTCTCTCTTTTTCCACTTTCCCTATTCTATTTTCCTTTTAACTTTGCATACAGATTGAAAAGGATTTTTCTTCGGTACTTATGGCAAATTTTTTCAAATGCACGGCACTTTTTTCTGTCAATTTCATGTTCATATATTTGTGTTCCTCGCGTCCCTTTTTTATACGTTTAAACATTGTCGTCAGTAGAATTATATTTAGTTTATCAATTTTAGTATAACTTCCACACATTCAGTTAGAGACAACTTATTCAATTGCAATTGTTCCAATATCTTATATTGATGACATTTATCAGCCATACCCTCAATTCATACTGAATCAATTCATCCTCAGTTCGAAGTTTCTCAAATTCGCAAAATCTACAAGCTTCTCTTAGCCTGTGAAGATATTTCATGATTGATTCATTTTCTTTCTATTTAATGGACGGAAATTTGGTTCTTTCTGATATGACAAGTTTCTTTTTAGGTCGTAAACAACTTTTTTATAATTTCTAGAAAGAGGTCAGTTATTTCATTTTCTCCCCCCTCTTTGCCTGGTTGTATTTCAATTTCAAGTCTCGAGAAATTTTGATTCATCCAAGCGATTTAAACATCCTATTAGCGACGCCATATTGTTATATTGTGTTGTGATCGGCAGTCAGCTTCTGTCTATCTATTACTTTACTATACACTTTATATCTCTTCTACTTAACATATGCAAATAAGCAGTATCCTATTTAGCTACAGTTTGAAAAAGACGTTAAACAGAGTGTCTAGTATTAAAGAAGCCAAATAACGTGTACTTGATCCTCTTGCGTTAATATAGAAGAATATCTTGGATTAAATGAGTTAAAAAAAATACGAGTTCTTGCTCTTATTACGTAAATATAAAAGAATGTCTTGGATTAAATTCTCATACATACCGTTACTAATAACGATAAAATTGGAGTTTTCTTCGTCACGTGCAGATGTGCCAAGACTTCTGGCAGGTGACCTTCACGTGCGGCCGCATAAGCTAGCCTGTTGAAAATTAAAATTAAAACTATATTAGACAAACAAACAAAATCGAAATAGTCTAATTTTTCATTGTATGTGATTGGTTTAGACTATTTTTTCTCATCTTTTTCATAATGACTCGGTCGTGGGCTATATAATTAAATGTTACAGAATCATGATCTGAGAAAGGCCTCCACATTCCTTCTCGTATGCATAATATCCCATCTGTTTTCGTGATTGTCACCTCCCAATCCCTGTGTTAATCTTGTAACTGACAAACTTTTCACGCGCTGCTAATCTCATAAGTGATCACAAAGGCATCACTTGTTCCTTCCTGATTGTCTCTCTCAACCTATGCTAGGTCTGCAGATTGTGTTACCTACGCATAGTATGTTGGCAGTTTTATTTTCTTTTTTCAAACCTTTGAAGTTGAAATGCTATATCGAAACTAGTATCGTAGCAATGCTACTCTCGATCTATTATTTTAACTTAACGTTCTAGGAATGTTCCCTCCTAGTTTGGATGAAACACATACAAAGTCTAACAAAATTCAGATAATTTTGATAGTTATACCTTTTGACTTTATTTTTCATATATTTCTTTCTGTCACTACACAATACAAGATGGGGAAATGAGATGCGAGTTCAAGTTTTAATGAAAGCGATTTTTTGATTCTGACTTCACACTGTTCAATTTAACGGTCAAAAATGGTTGATACGACAAAAATACAATAGGAGAAAATTATTCACAGTTAATAAGGAAAATACCTCACTAAAAAGATTATTTTTATAGTCTTAATAAATACCGTAAAGACATGAATGTAAACCTTATTCTTTAATTTTTCACTCCTTCAAAATCGCAAATACATAAATCAAAATTAAGTCTTCTGTTGTATGTTAAACTGTTTTGTGATTCCTTTCTTTGAATGGTTGCGAGCAAATACAATGCTGGGCACGAAAATATCTGTTTTTCTCTGCTATTTAGGCAAATGTTGTTCAACTAAATAAAGAGCAATGATTTCTGTACTCGTAAGGCTTTTGAGATATGCACATAGCATATTTATAGTCAATTTATATTAAATTTATATTAGTATTCACTTAAACAGATTGCAAAATTTCTTTCAAAACTGGACCATTTATATCTGGTCCAATTCAAATTTTTCCACATTTTTTTCAAAAAATGATAAATTGTGACTCAAAGGTAGAAAATATTCAGATTATAAAGAATATACTATAAACATTCGAATAAGATAAAAGTTGTTTGCTAAAGTTTAAACAAGAGATAATACGCTAAATGATGTTCTGTGGTTGATAGCGATCAAATCAAGGCATCAATTGGGAATAACTTTATACGATGCCAGACATAGACAAACGTTAAAAATGATTTGCACCCACTTGGTTATGTTAGGCGCTTTGACGTGTGGCTTCCAACCGAGTGAAGAAAACTTCTAGTGGGATAGAATGATGAGGTTGTCTTATGTAACACATTTTCTAGAGTAACAAACAAAACGTTATGTTGTTCTATAAAGTTGATGCAGAAAATTAAAAATAAACTTATTTTTACTTAAACCAAATGCGCCTTTTAACAAAAACAAAAATAATATTTCCATATTGAACAGTAATACAAGTAAAACTATAAATTACTCAAGTAAAAAAGCCTGCCTAAGATTTTACAGGTGGTTGCTATTTAGTTCAATTCATAATCTGTGATTTGGCTTAACTACATCTTAGGTTAAAATATATTTTTTGAAATCGAACATAATACCAAACGTTTATGTTTCCAATTTTACAATAAAGAATCGGTCAGAATTTTACGAAATGCAGCCAATCAAAGAACAATGTTAGGAATGAGGCGAAAATAATTATATGAGATGATTGTCTAAACTCTAGCTTAAGTATGTTTCCTAGACACGGTAGATGAAGCGTAATAAATGTTAAGTTGGTTGCTTGATTTTTTTTTCCCTTTTGATAATCGTGGTTTAGAATAAAGAACAATAAAATGAAATTACATTCGAGTTGTCAGATATTGAGAAGAATGGCGCTTATGTATAATAACAGTTTTACTATTGAGTGTAGGAAATTTTTTGTGAAAGAATAAGTGATTATTGTCGAAAGATTTTTTATGAAACGTGGTGAAAATAAGAATTCAAGGGAGGAAAAGCAAGGTACGATGCCGAGTGCGTTTGTTTGTTTTTTGTTGTTGCTTTTTTTAATTTCGTTTTTTATTTAACTTTTTACCTCGAGTAATTGCGTCCCATTTTGTAGGATGGTTAGCTCGGTAAAACTGTTTGACAGGTGCACTGAATCATCGGTAGAGTACAATATTCGAGAAATCCACCGAAATAATAATTACCCAATCTAAATGGTTTATATCGTTTCGAATAGAACAAAGAGCAGATACGTTGTTACTAGAGGACCTAAAGAATGAAATCGCAAAACCTAAAACTACTGGAGAGAATAGCACAATGTTGATTCAAAATTGGCTGCATTCCGGTTATCCGGATAATAGTATCCGGATAACAGATCCGGATAATATCAGAGATGAACTGGAAAATATGACTTTTTTTTTCTTTTTTTTTTTTCTTTTTTTTTTTTTTGAGTGCGACGCTAAATGAAGGAGGTTAATGATCTCAAGAGAGTAGAAAGTATTAAATGTTCTTATTTGGAATTTTAACTGAAAGGAACTTAAGATCCACAGTAAGGTAGGGACTTAGGGGCGACAGAATTATGAGATCTTGCTTGAAGCGATTTAGCCAATAGGCAAAGTATCAATTGGTCAATTCAAAATCTTCAAGGCATTGATCGGGAGCTGAGCAAATTAATCGGAGCCATGACAACCGAAATTAGAGAATTAAACGATTTTGTGAAAGAGTATTCACATCAACTGTACCAGGCTTCATTATCTTTGCTATTGCCTGACAACGAGTAAAATAATCCCACTCGTGCACATCTAAAACCACTTCTGCAATGTCAGTCTCATCGAGTACAAATGTCTGTTAAACCTTAGCATTATTGTGTTTCTGTTGTAGAAAAGGAAAATCTACAAGGCGAAGAGAGCATCTACGTAGTATACCAGGAGATAAATTTGCCCTAATGTTCAAGATTTTAACATAAGATTCTCTATTGAACAATATGTCTAATAGATTCTATAGTGATTTATTTAACACGTTTGTCCGCCTCGGCTTCCAAGACGCCATATATTAATTGCCTTCAGAAAATTATTTTATGATGTATTAATACCATCGAAATGACGTGCTTACCTGCTGCATGTAAAACAACTGCCATTCGCCGCCCCAAATGTTGAGAATGCCACAGAGATTGGAATAATAATTGCCGCGGTACCCAGTACTCGGTTTGCCCAAGTCTAAAAATGAATATATAATTGACATATAAATTTTATTGCCATTGTAGGTGTTACTTTTCAAAATTTATGTTATTTAAATTGTTCTCATTTAAAAACATAAGGCGTCAAGATGTCCGTTTTTTTGTGTTCTCGATATTTGTTGCCCAAATGTTTACATCCGTTCCATTCGTACAAGTGAGGAAAAAATTAATAAAAAAACAAATAACGAAAAGAAAATTAAATTCATAAAGAAATTGAAATTTTTCTCTGAAACAAAAGAATCTGATGAAACATTGGATTTGATTACCAAAGAATTTTTTAATAGCACAAAGAAACTCAATTATCTGGAGAACAATTACAATATTGACTTAAAGTTAAAGACAATATAACATCAAAATATGCGTGCATACACATATAAGAGAGAGAGAGAAAGTGGGGTGTCTAGTATAGCGTAAAAATTGACAATGTGGAATCGAAGAGTCGACTTTACATTTATGAGTATATGTTACACCCATATACATTTATGAGTATATGTTACACCCATATATACAGTTAGTGGGGGTGGGTTACTCTCCAGCCGGTTCAACGGTGTTACTTCGGCAACGCTTTCTACGCTCATGTTATATTGAAAAATTCGCGGAAATGAACATCGTCGGAGTTATCACTAACACAGACTTAATGGAGTTAGACGAAGGGGTGTAGAAGTTCCTGGTCGAAACTGGTTCGGGTCACGTGCCAGTAGTGTTGAAGACTTTTGAAATACAGAAAAGAAGAGGCAGTTGATAAAAAATCCGTAAACAACAGTCTTTATTACAATATTAATTATATGCAACATCAATAAATAAAATAGGTCGAAAGAAAATGAGTGATTGGAAGGATAAGATTGACGGACAATCGTATTTATAGTTAATAAGCGGTTCTGACATGTGCAACAGATATAGATAATCTCATGAGGGAAGACGAGTTTCAAGACCGATTCTTGTCGATTCTGCAATCAGCCCCACCAATGAACTTCCGTTCCAGCTACATGCTCAGCAATATCCCCCTCCCCATACATTTGATATCTTATTTATTATAAAACGCAGATTGTGTGTGTGTGTCTGTAACGTTTATATATTGGATCGGATTTCCTACATTTTTTAGCCGATTTCAACAAAACTTCACATGACTACATAAAATTACCTTGTGGTGGTTCTAACGGCGCCGAGAATGGGAAAAAACACAATTGTTTTTAAGAAAATCAATTTGAAAACACGATTAAGACACATCGTGAGAATGAAAGGGGGACAATTCAGATCGGGTTAAAAAAAAAACCAGGTTGTTTGTGTGTGTGTGTGTGTGTTCCTTTATATATGGGATCGGATTTCTTACATTTTTCAGCCGATAAAACAAACATCCACTTTCTTTTTTGGCAGGTAGTGTTTCTTATTGTCTTGCACACTTTTTTCTTTATTTTTCCATTCAGAATGCTTTAAAAATTCCATTTACAAGACAATTGTTTATAATAAAATTCTAATTCTATTCAATCGTGGGACTCATCATAACGATTGAAAACAATGTTTTTGTTTGAGTTTGGCTTTGACCAATTCGTAAAAAAAAAAAAAACTAAGACATGCGTGTCCGTCAAACTAAACAATAATCTAACGATCTCTACTGATTGTACGAATCGAAAAATCGGATAATTCTTTATCTTTAGGGAAAGATAATTCCACGTACTTCAGGGTCGTTTTTACAATTCCCTTTGCAATTTGTTACAAGGCAGATCAATAAGGCATTGGTTCTATTTGAAAATTCAATATTTAAAAGAAAGTATTAAATGCTTTAAAAATTCCATTTACAAGACAATTGTTTATAATAAAATTCTATTCAATCGAGAGACTCATAACGATTGAAAACAATGTTTTTGTTTGAGTTTGGGTTTGACCAATCCGTAAAAAATAAAAAAAATAAAAACTAATTAAGACATGCGTGTCCGTCAACCTTAAACAATAATCTAACGATCTCTACTGATTGTACGAATACAAACATCGGAATAAATTCTTTATCTTTAGGGAAAGATAATGAAATCTAAACATACACAAGTCCTAACTAAAAATAATAACCGGAACAGGAAACTACTTTAAATACACATGGTGTCCAATTTTTTACTGTATTCAATAAGTAAAAGAAAGGCTACTAAATGAATAAGATTTGTTAGATCATAATTAATAAACCCAAATAAAGTTAATATTTTTTGTATTAGAAACAACGAGTGGAAAATATATTCAAATCAGAATTCTAATTATGAATCACCACAAGCAAAATATGCAATATTTTTACTGTATTCAATAAGTAAAAATCATAAATTGTAAAACTAAAAGATTACAGAAAGGCTACCTACATTTTTCAACCGATTTCAACAAAACTTCACTTCTTTTTTTTTTTTTTTGGCATGTAGTGTTTCTTATTGTCTTGCACACTTTTTTCTTTATTTTTACATTCAGAATGCTTTAAAATTCCATTTACAAGACAATTGTTTATAATAAAATTCTATTCATCAATCGATAGACTCATAACGATTGTAAACAATGTTTTGTTTGAGTTTGGGTTTGACCAATTCGTAAAAAAAAAAAAAAAAAAAAAACTAATTAAGACATTCGTGTCCGTCAACCTTAAACAATAATCTTTGTCAATTTTATTTTTCAGTCTTTATGATGGTGGATACTTGATCTATCTCTTACTGTTATATCCCCGGGCAACGCCGGGCTTTACTGCTAGTCATTTTTATGCGGAAGAGAACCTTTGTGTTACTTAGCTTCCCTCTGACAATTTTTGTCTAGTTAACTTTGAGATACAATGTTTGTCTTTAAGAGAAGATATGTGTATAAATGTATAAAGCACGTGGGGCGGACATCGAATAATTAAAATAAAAATGATAAATTTGAAGCAGTAATTGAAAACAAAATATGCCGAATTTAAAACTGCATTATTTTTTAGCCTTTATTATTTTCGTCTATTACAAGGCCACATATTTGGTAATGGAGAGATTAGCAGTTTTCTTACAAGTAACAATTCGGCATTCATTGACAGAACAGCCAAAGCTGATTGAACTCTTTCTATTAAAACAATTTTTCAGGGAAATATATTCACTGTTCTCGATGTTTCTATTATTGATGGAACTTCCTCCTCCTTTTATTTAAAGTAGTTTGGAAAGTCGACATCTTGATTATATTATTTTCACTTCGAGTTACATGTGTCATCCATCTTAGTTGCTGATGCTGTTGAAAGTCTTCAAGTGATATTGCTTCTTTTATTTAGTTTTTTTATTTTTATTTTTTAGCGCCAATCGACGCGATTTGAAGAATGGTCCTCTATCACATTATTAACAGTTATTTTTAATCATTAATCTAAGATAGCGGCTGTCTACACCTGACAGTTTAGACATTTCTGAACTAGCTGGATGCCATATGGATCGAGTGTATATTTGATTTTTTCAGATTCGTATGATCGGGTTTGAAATGTGAGTCGAAGCGTTTTTTGAGGCCTGGAATGTTTTTTCGGTTTTGATTTTGATTGTATATTATTGTGATTTTTTGCTTTTCTCTACATAATTTATGCTGTCCGGCTTCCTTAATTTGGTCCCCGATTTCATGAAAATATCGATTTCTCAAGGCATTAACTAGACTTTCTTATCTTCTTTGTTAACTGTTTACTTTTCTCTATTTCCATTTTGTTCTCTTCTGCTTGTATCTTTCTTTTCTCTGTCAGGCTTTTCAAATCAGGATTGTCATCTCATGAAAGCTATTTTCCTTCTACATACTTTACAAATAGACTCGTGCTTTTGGCTAAACAAGATACGATTATATTATTTGATTCTTCAATGTTATCAAGAGTTCGGCACGTTAGTTTATCACCAGATTATACACTTACATTTTAATTTTTTAAGGCTTTGGCTTAAGTCAATAAACGTTTTGGTTATTTTATATGGGATGGTTAAACCATGTGTTTAGGATAGAATATATTTTGAATAAATTAACTCATTCACCATTTGCCCCACAATGAGGCATCAAACTCAAGGATATGTATATCATTGATACAAAAAGAAACAGAGAAAATTCACCGTTGATATATAAATATTATAAATAAAATAGTAATAGCAAAACAATGACGGGATAATTTACGTATGGATTGGCACTTCTACCTGCGATTAGAGTGTAGTAACTTTGTGCTCTGTGAAAAGTGTTACACACACACACACACATAAACATATATATATATATATATATATATATATTGTGTGTGTGTGTGTGTGCGCACGCGCGCGTTTTATTATAGACATAAAGATGTTGAAAAACTCTCCCTGCCCAACCTATAATTAAATGATGGACAAAATACATTTTAATTTACATGTTATCCTGCATATTCACCGCCACTGTTCAACACACTTCGCACATTGGTTTTTCAAGTTTCTTTAACTGTTCAATAATGTTGATGTTTGGTCGTTAAAATACAACCGCTCTGATGGTGTAGTATGTCCTCTTTATCAAACTTGGTTTGGAAACTAGAAATAGTGTGGTGATTTAGATTGAATGGTCTATACACCCAAACTCTAAATTTTTCAAGCACACTAGATGTGCGGATGGCGTAATAGATAGTGGATAGTGAGAAAAAACCAAGTTCGAATTCCACGCAGTTTTGTTGCATTCATTTACATGCAAATACCCTTGGAAAAGTTATGAATCCCTCTCTTCTACCCCTAGCTATGGGTTAAATAGTAGGACCTTGATATAGAAAAATCATTTTTTATTGACAAAAAGATTGTTAATAGAATATTCACTCGCCAAAAAAAAAAGAATTATTCTTAGAATTTTGGCTTTAAATAACCCACATGTTGATAATCCGTAAAAAATCATTCATTTAATCAACTTCAAAACACAACTTCATCAGCCGTGTGAACAGGTGCATTATCCTGAAAAGTGAGAACACATTTCCACAGCTACCCTCGCCATTTTTATTACAGTGCCTTTCCTTTAATCAGTACAGCAAAGTTCTGTTTTAACTGTTTGTTGCTTCTGAAGATAATAATCAAAATACATTATCTCCAAAATCCACGACCATGAGATTTCCTGTCGACTTTTTAAGGTCTTCAACTATTTCGGCTGCAAAGAACCTGAATACCTCCACTGAATACCTCCACTCCTCCTATTGTTTGGTCTCACGGATTCATTTATGTAACTATGTTTCATCAACACTGAATGGTCTTTTCAAAAGAATTCTCTAAATCACTGAAAAAGCTGCAAATCAACTTTTAGGTGCCCCCCCCACACACACACACAAACACACACCAGAAAAAAAAGGTAATTGATAATATTCTTTAAAACCAAACAAATAAAGACAATAAAAACATACTCCCCCGACAGTTGCTGCGGCCAATAAATCAACTTTACTCATCACTGCCAAGTAAGACACATTGGTTAAAAGGTAGAGAATGGTTACTAATGGAATTCCAATCAATATTGCCAAGGGAAGGTTTCTGAAAATATAACAAACTCATACATTTAGATTTACCGATTTATTTTTTCTTTTCTATCATTTTCACATCACAATGACTCGATAATCATAGCAATTGCTATTACTACTAAGTATTGTCGAATAAAAAAAACAATTTCTCTAGACGTGAAACCCACTGGAATTATTTTATGTGCCTCGATTGTTTGTTTCTCGAAAAAGGCAAAAATTTCATATGCTTCAACTTATTAAGATTAATATTTTGGATGACGACAAATATTCTATTCTAAGTATGTTTGCATGAGAAAAAGTGAATATATTTGTTCATGTACATAAGTCCAGAAAGTGAGGAAAGAAGACAATCAAAGTTTGTTGCCCCTGCGTTTGCATCTTTGTGAATAGCAGGTCAACTATGAACATATTGTTTTTGTTTTTTGTTTTTTTGTTTTTTTAGTTGCTGGCTTGTCTTTTATCTGTTTGGGGGATGACCACCGGCTCACGGGGTGGGGGTGAAAACTACACAGAGCAATTTTATTGGTTAATTATTCTTTTTGAACGAACACGTGATATATTCTCTACTATACTGACCTTGGCTTTAATATTCGCCTTTTACTACCCTCCCTCCTCTCTCTCTTTCTATCTCTCTCCTAATACAATTTCACTCGTTGTGTGAAAAATTGGGAAACGTTTCTTTATTAAAATGAACTAATATGTATTTTACTGTTATTTTATGAATATTAATGTTTTGTACACATTTTAAGACACCGTCACCTGTGGTAAAGAATATTTTATTTAATGTGGATTGTTTATTTTGCATAATAATCGTTTCTAGATTTTTTAGACAAAAATGCATAATATTTGAATCATTTTTTTTTTTGGTACGGTTCCGCTCACTCTGACCGTTACACATGAAGTCATATTAGACTGTTTCAAACTTCCAGCTATCTATGTTTCAAACTTCCAGCTATCTATAAAGTAGCAGGACGTAGCCAACGGAGACTAACCTACAACATTGATAACTGTTGTATTCTGTGTCGTCCCTGGATCCCCACGTTACTACATAAAATGGCATCAACGAAAAGGATGAGTTCTTTTTGTTATTTGTTTTATTAAGTGTTGCAGTTAGGATTCTAAAACACAGTAGGAGGATCGAAATCGTGCATAAACTGTCTGAAGTTCATGTTTGTTCTGTTGTTTTAGTTCAACTACTTTAGACCATCTCAGTCATTATCAAAACCATGTGTTTTGTTACAGAATGCGAAGGCCGGGGCCAGAAGGGTCAGCGATTGGCCGGAGTGCCTCATGAGCGGGGTATTCTGACAGGGATGGATTGCCTTTGTCCCCGGCCTTCGCATTCTGTAACAAAACACATGGTTTTGATAATGACTGAGATGGTCTAAAGTAGTTGAACTAAAACAACAAAATAAACATGAACTTCAGACAGTTTATCCACGATTTCGATCCTGTTGTACAACATCTTATTCAAAAATTAGAAAAATACATTAAAAAATTAACAAACTTTGATGGCTGAATTCAATAAAATTTGTTTGGATGAATACTTGCTACCTAAATATACTTTATATAATATACATTAGAAATGTAAATATTTGATTTAATTTTCTATGATCTTATGCTGATGCTCCGTAAGTTTTCGAATTACATCTGAATAAAATGATTGAAATTGAAGACATCTTTAAATTATTGACAAAATAAGGAATATTACTTTGATTGTAAGCAATGATAATCAAATGGCGCCAAGTCTGGTGAATATGCTTCGTGAGACAGGATCTTGCACCCTACTTTCATAATGATTTTTTAGTTGATAAACTGTGAACGAGAGTTGTCATACAACAGTATTACTTTTTCACTACACTGTCATTTTTTTACTCCGGTGGGGGGAGTCTCTTGCAGCGCTGAAACTTTGTAAACAGTATCACTATGTACTATAATTTTCTCCCGGTTTCATATTTTACCAAATACAAAGCACTAAGTCTTTTTTTTTTTCAAAGTTCATTTGATGCAGTATAATACCATGGATCGACCTATAATTTTCGACGCTATCATACTTTTTGCCAATTATATTACTACACTTTTCCGCTTCTATTCAAATTACCCAGCCAAGAACCAGATAACCTACTACTGAAAAATATGTCAAAGCTCAAACTAGCATCCTGATTGAACAAATCTCCAATAAACAGCTGTATTTTCTTCTTCTACGAAAATCCATGGTAGAATCACAATTCGAGTAATCAACACACGGAAGAAAGACAACTGTTTATACACGAATAAATGAAGCAAATATATAATATCGGAAAATGACTGTATCGGAGGCATCCATTTTTTAAAAGCTATGCTGCTTCTTTACCCACTCTATTTTCTACACTAACCAATATCTAACTAAAACAAAAAATCTAATAACATGAAGATGACACTAAATGATTTATGAAGTCTAGTGTGTAGCGAACAATAATCTGAACAAAATAAGTTTGAAAACAAAGCATTTTCATACTAACCTGTAAGGATCATATATTTCTTCAACAGCAAAGTTAAGATTATTCCTGTTAAAAAAAAAATCCGTTAAATCTTTTGGAGACATTTTCTTTGCTTACCTTATTTTAAGAATTTAATTTTTTTCTATACTTGACCAATATTTCGTTTTATCTTAGTTTTTAATTAATTCTTATTACTACTTTACTAAGGCTGTCGATATATAGGGCAGGAATTAAACAGCGATAATCTGAAACAAGCTCTCAGTGAAAATCCAAATCAATTTTCTCTTTTGTCCCAGGAAAATTCAGTTGAAAGCATCAACTACACTAATTCGATAACGGCAATATATTTGTTTTAAACTCGTCTTATTAATTGTAGCGGGATTATTTTTAATGTTTAATCAGATGATTCTTAGTTAACCATTATTATTTATCTTGGCTCGTATGTATTTCAATCTTAATTTTTACTTCCTTTTTTTATCGTAACTTTAACCAGACCGTCAACCCACGATAGTAATCTTTCTGGCTATAAAAATCAAGCTTCACTAATTACAAAACACGATATCCCGGGCAAGATTCTAGATTTTCTTATCGCTGTCCACTTTACTGTTATTATATCACTTTACTAATTTTCTATACTACGACAGAAAAGAATTGTCATTGTTCAAATATTAATGAAAATATTGTTGACAGAATAGGGCAATATACAAAATAGAAATGCACATTGTATTACACACACACAAAACGCGCACACACACATATATATATATATATATATATATATATATATATATATATATATATATATATATATATATATAATATATATATATATTAAGCTCGCGCGTGTGTTTGAAGAGAAATAGGGAGATATTTACCTATATTCTACAGTTTACAATAGAACACTGATCAGCAGTCGAGATTGTTCGATAAGGTAATCAGTTTAGTTACGATTATATAAGTATGACATATGCAGAGTTTCATTAATATTTCTATATTCTAACTGTGTACCTTTGGTATAATGCGCACTTTTTAATTACTATATTTTAATTGTATCCCCTTGGTATAATTCGCACTTTTTCGAAAATAACAAAAACTATATCAAATGAAGTATAAAAAGATAACATTTATAAAAAAACTAAAATAACCTAAAAAGACATTAAAATCTGAATGAAATGAAATTAAAATTTAGAGATATAAACAGAATAAGAAGAACTAAAAATGGAAAAAGCAAAGAAATAAAGTAAAAAAAGATAAATTCTAAATAAATATACTATTGTTAACAATACGTACCAACCATCGTAAGCCCAAAGACCGTCATAAAACGCTAATGCTATAACAGAGGGAGACGTCTGAGAGCCTTGAAAGCCTTCGGGGAGATCGTTTAAGACACCTGAACAATACAAAGAAATCAAATTTGTTAAGTAAAAGTAAAAGAACGTAGAGTTCTTTTACTTTTTTTTATTCAATTACACATAATTATATTACAGACAAATATGCAAAATTATATATTAAAATGACAGAAATTTTATTTATACACACACACATACACATGTGCATAAATGACTAAGCAATCCTTAAGATCATGATTATATCTATAAATGTTGTATCTCCAATATTAAGCACGATTCCACCATGAATATAACAAATTTTAAACAAAATAATTACACCCTCTATCTCTCCTTCTATCTTTCTCTCTCTTTCTCTCACACACACAAATATATATATATATATATATATATATATATATAAAGTGTATTTTCAATTTTATTATTCTGAAGGTTATTTTACATCCAGCACTTATGGCGATACTATTACTAAATAGTATTAATGATATCATTAATACTATTTTGCTGCACATTTGTTCCAGATGTTATAATGGTGGATACAAATATTCAAATTTTGATAACTTTACGCCATATTTTAAACTGAGTCCCAAATCTGCTTAAGTTACTTTCAACATTTGATTTGATTTGATTTCTACTGTTTATGAACGAAATTTCAATGTGACATGGCCGTAAGCCTTTCAGAAAATGAAACGTTATCAGGCCGTGCTCTTCAAAACTAGTTTGAATATTTTAGATGCGTTGACTTATCCCTTGAATAAGTAAATGGATCACCATCAATTTTCGATTATAATTTTAAAAGATGCAAAGATAAAGGAGAATCCAACCAGCAACACTCAATACCTTTTAGAAAAAATATAATGAAAAGATTATTTCTTGTACACCGTTAAACGGTGTACAAGAAATAATCTTTGGTCTGTATTTTTATACACAACATGATACTACACTACAGTTTGGTGTCATTTATTTACACATGTTTAGCATCCCGCTACCACCTTTTTTATCAATATCAATTTTCGTAAAAAAAATGTGGATCACAGAGCTTATTCAGCTTAATGTATATTTTCAGAAAATCTCAACTTCTGATTGATCACTTAATATTTAACCTGACCAAAAAGATAATTCCACCAAAATCTATCAAGCTTCTGGGAGCCTATCACGTGACCAAAGTTAGCAATAAAATATGAAACGTCTTTCATCTTCGACAGTGCGCCGATTGGAATCCTTTGAACTTGTCACACAGTTCCAGGCTTTACGTTAAAGTTCCTTAACATGATTCCAGCCTGAGAGAACACTCATTCACACAGCAATATTTTATGACGAACAATCAACTCAAGTTTTCCACATTCAACTTAATACACGAATCTTTTTCATACGCTTTCAAGCTCAACGTTAATTATTGCAATTAACATAAACACAGCTTAAGAACCACTTATTTCAACTACAGAATATTTTCTTCGAACCAGTGAAAGCAAATCAAAGAGCAACAATTCTGTAAACCTTAAAGTAAGTCGTAAACAATATTTCCCTATTTCAAATACAAACTTGAACTGTTTTTTGGGTTTTTTTCTTAAATTACTATAATACCCAAACACACTTTCTCATTATTGTACAGACCATTCAACAAATTATAATCTATCAAACCAGAACTTTGAAAACCTTTCATCTAAACATAAAAGGATGTTTGAACTTTTTAAAACTACCTTTTTACTCCAGTTGTTTTTGTATCTCTTGTTTATATAAATATTTTATTCATTGTTGTGCAAAAACTGTTGTTTCTCATGTTGTCCTTATTCTATGTTTGTTGAATACTGAAATTTAATGTGAGAGGAAATTGTTAATTTCATCACGCAGCCTAATTTACTCAACAAGTTTTTATTCATATAATATAATTTAATTAATTAACACAACCTCCACAGATGTTTCATCCGATCTATTCTTTGGCTTCCCTTGTATGAAAGAAAAGGATTTTTTTTTCTTATTTGTTCAGCCGCTGTCCAAAATCTTTTTACCGTTGAAAACTAAAATCAGAAGAAAAAATATGCTGAATAAATTTGAATTGCACAACCCACTGTAGCCATTCTTTACTCTTCCTCCTACCACACAGTATATTCTGTATTTGGCAAACATTAGCTGAATTAGTTTTTCTAGCCGGAGTAAGCAATTTAGTAAAGCTGAAAAATAGGTCGGCTGAAACGTTTTGGCTACAGCAACAAAAAGAATCGTTTACTGGAAATAATTAGTCATTTTGAAATGACAGAATTCTGTTTAATGCTTGCTTGTCTTAGTATGGCACAAGGTCAAATGGCAGGGAATGAGTTTAAAAATTGTGTTACGCCATTATTTTAAATAGAGGAAGCTAGCCTGCTTCGAAAATCAGCATTAAGAAATTGTAGATTTTAACTGAGCTTGAACATCAAACACAAGTACCGGTGAAAAATGACGAAAAATTTTAAATCCGCTCCAAAGATTATTAATGGATGTCGAATTATTTTAAAATAAACAGAAATTATGGAAAATAATGATGACATCTGATGTACCCGACATTAACAGACTTACCTTTACCAATATATACGAAACCCCCAATGATGATGATCAGTAAAGCAACAATTTTCGCCACAGTGAAAAACACCTGGATACGGACAGCTAACTCGACGCTGTAGCAGTTGACAGCGGTGATGAAAACTATTAAAATAAAATATCAAACAATAATTACCTAATTTCATCGGATCATTAGAAAAATAACGGAGATAAGTCATTTAGTTGTATTGTATTTATAAAACATTAAAATCTTTCTCGCATTTTCTTGTCTATATTCAGTATTCCTCAATGCTAAACAAACATTTTATTCACCATTGAATAATTATAGGTTATAATTCACCATTGAAGAATTTTAACAATCTGTGACATAAAAAAGCGTTACACACAGAGAAAGTGGTGTACAGAGCCACTATTTGCAGTAATAATGAAAAGAAATAACACCGAAATTGCGGAGTGGAGCGGGGAGAGGAAAACGTGGTTCTAAAATCACAAGTTGAATCGAAACAATGAAAGGTACAGAAATGCCACTTCATTATTGGAGGCTTAAAAAGTCAGCCGAGCCTCAACATCAAATGGAAAATTTTAAGTGCAGAAAATTGCAATAAATGTAATTTGTGCATGTATTAAAAGCTCATGGGAGACATGATGATGTCGAATAAGAGACAAGAACTTATTTCTATATAAATAAGAACAAATTTCTGGTAAAAACAAATATATATAAGAACAAGTTTCTAATAAAAATATATAGGCTGGGTATAATTTGTAGGCGTCTCTTAATCATCCCTTATTCATTCTCTTTTTTTCATGTAAATACATTCTCTTTTCATATAAATACTGGCATCCCTTATTATTGGTGCTACGCATTTCAATATACCATATACGGTAATCCCATGCCCGAGAGCAAAAACTAGTAGTAAAAACTAGTAAAAGCCTGGTGTAATTTATAGTGTCTCTTTCACTCCTAACCCTCTTTTCTTTTTCCATGTTCATCCTGGTACCCCACTAATTATGGTCTGTTATTGATTGGTATCGGACTAAATTATAATCTTATACCTGTAAACTAAAAATACTTCATATTCCACTTTTTCTTTTCTCCTCCTCCTATATATACTAATCAGTTGGTTAGTTCGTAATTTCCTGTTCATCACTACAGGCCAAAGGATTGTGCTTCTCACATGAAACTGTTAGTAGCGGAAAATATTTGTACGAGCACGTTGAGTTTATTATCTTTATTTTTTTTTTTTTTTTCACATTGAGGGCTGTGCATTTTACAGCGTTGGGTTGGCATCTTTGACGTACATTTCATGATCCTACTTATATATATATATATATATATATATATATATATATATATATATATATATATATATATATATATATATGCTCATTTTATGTATGCGGATGATTAGTTAATTATTAACTAGATTATCGAATGTTATTTTACAATCTAAGACCAAGTAATTCAGATTTGCTTCCCTTGACTTCAACTTCCTATTGTTAAAAGACAATCCTAAAAAATATGATTAAAAACACTTTATCGAGTTTTCGTAACATTTCTTAAATTTAATTGAAAAAAAAGCATACGCAAAACTGTTTTCGCAGTTTATCAATTGTATCATGTAACATGTAATTTTTAACATTTCTGCAGATAAGCTCGCAGCTTGATACGTAGTTATTAGCTGAATTTTCGTTTGAGACTTGTATTGTATGATGTTCGATCCATATGATTATCATTCACCGCTGATGTTCAGGAGATTATGTTAAAAAATAAATATTTTTTTTATCTAAAAAAATACTTTTTTCCATCATTAGACTAGGAATTTATACACATTTAAAACGTCCTTGTTTTTCTTTTTGAATATTTTCAAGTTTTAATTTTATAATATTCAAAAAGGTGTTTCATTAAGTATTAATATTCATATTAATTAATATTAATAACATTAATTCTTATAATATTAAGAAAAATGTTTATAATATTCAAAAAGTGTTTCATTAAGTTCCGATTAAAAACGAGAATTACTGTTAAAAGTGTGGAGATCATTTGAAATATACTAAACATTTTATTTATTCCTACGTCATCGGTTGATGCATACTTACTTATTGCGGCTGCTGCCAAACACTTGACAAAGATGATTGGGGGTCCACATTCATCGAAACAAATCGCTGCGACATACTCGGCGAAAGTCAAACATATGACTGCCATTGATGCCGGTCTAAGGATGATTACGCTTGACCAGGCGTAAAGGTAAGCAAGGAGAGGACACAGACCCTCACATAAGTAGGAAAACTCACCACCTGACATGGTGATCAGGGTACCAAGTTCGATATAAGCAAGAGATGCTAAAAAAAATAGATTGACACATTAATTTTTAATCAATAAAATAACCATTTTAATCATTGATATTTAAAAACGTACGCTTTCAACGTTTATGTAAAAGCACTCGCGCAAACACACAAATGGTCTGCCATGCGGCTGGTATAGCTGAGCATTTCTCACTAACACATGAGACTGGAGTTTGATACTGAGGTGAAAAACAAGACTTTCGAAAACTAAATAAGCAGACCTTACTCACATTAAGATTGGCACAACACAATCTTTCTATCCACCATTTTTTATTTGGCCTTGTATCAATCTAGGAAATAGTCAACTTAAACCTCATTAAATATGCATTCTTTTCGACAAATATATATCGATATAATTTTCTAAAGCAGTAATGGATTTTTTATCTATTATTTATTAATCCGAAGAAGCTTTGCCGATCAAGCAAGGTCTGAAGAGTGCCTTGAAGCGAAATCCTTCTCATCATACCTTCCCTGATCGGCAAACCTTCTTCGTGGCCGAGGAGATTAAGGCATGTCGGATCTAACGACAGTTTCCCTATGCCACATATGCACGCAGTTTCGAATCCTTCCGTATATCAACCTTTATTAAGATTTCTCAAACCTTCAGGCCGGTAGACGAAAATAAATCTACTGTTTAATAAATAAAAGGTGCGTCTACTTAAATAAGAGTATCTACTAAAAATAATGTTTAAAGTGATAAAAATATGTCGGATCAATAAGTAAAAAAGCCATTACTTTTTTAGAAAATTACTTTTCTTACGTTTGAATATAAAACTGAGCAGATATGGTAATTTTGAGGAATCAATGACGAGATGGATTTCACTTAAACTTGGCTTGATCGGTGGTAAAGCTTCTTCGTGACCGATTCGGTTAAGGCATGTCGGATCTAACGACAGTTCCAGCCAACTCCTGCCTAGAGAGTGGGGGCGCAGGTTATAATCATGCCGGAGAGCGCATATTTTTTTAAATAAAATTTCTCAAATATAGATAGACGAAAATAAATATACTGTTTAATAAATAAATGGGACGTTTAATCAAATAAGAGCATCCACTAAAAATAATGTTTATAGTAATAAATATATCGATATGTATGTGTGTGTGTGTGTAGCAAGATAACGAATTTGCATGAACTTTTATTGTTGTGTGAAATTTGCAAACAGGGATTTCCGACAGTAAAAGGGTTAAACTAACAGATTAATAAAAATGATAATTAAAGCATGAGTCAATGCCCGGTCAAAAAAATAACTATTCGAAAATAATAATACGTACAATAAAATGAAGATGCGTGTGTCAGAATAAGTTCAAACCGAGATGTATTTACATCACTAGAAGTGCACTTTTGGTTAACCTCGAGTATCAAGCATTTATTGAAATGGAATGTGTCAAAGCTAAAACCAGCTGGGAAACTAACTTTTGAATGATCCCAAGGATCAAGCATTTATCAGAATGGAATGGAAGCAGAAGATGGATGAAAAAATGGAAAATATCTTTATCCTCCACCATTTAGCAAGGGATGTATTAATCGCATCTCCCCTAACATGTTAAAAAATAATTTATTCATTATTTATGAAATCGGGACGCATTGGTACAACTTGGTTAAAAAAATTATAAAGAGAAAACTGGGTCACAATAATTCCCTCAAAATAAGTTCTGTTATTTGTTTTTCATTTCTTTGTTTTCATCGAGAACTCGATGGCTGTTGACAGGTAGCCGGTAGGAAGGAAACGAAACTTCAGAATCATAACAATATAAATGTCCCATGTCGAGAACACCCCTGAGGTTAAAGGTGATAATCGATTCTCCATATAAACCAACGCAAGAGCCGGAACGAAGGAGTCCCAATCATTTACATTGGGGATGAAAAAAAATACCAAAGAAAAGGAAGGATCCTGCCGTCCAATCGGTGATAGGAAGAGGGTGAACCAGTAGTTCATCGCAGTCACCGAGAATGTTAAGATCCAAACTATCAGGGGTAGCCAAGTGTTGCAAAGTTGATAAGAGAGTGGAGGAAGGTAGTCATCAGTAGCAACAGTCGGTTGCAAACAGTTTTTTGGAATTGAAAAGTCACGAGATGCTCGAAGAAATATTAATATTTCCTCTTTACAAGAATTCCATTTAAATGATTAATGTCTCATGTGAATATAGCCGTAGAACACGCATGTCCATGTTTGTAAATCCGCCCACACCAAATGACTGCCCGGAGTCACCTAAAGTTTTTTTATATTTTAAGTTATTTTTATCTTTTGGACCCTTCTTTCTATTCGTTCAGGAGTAAAATTCCTTTAATCATACTCTACCATTGGTTATTATTTTATACGAGCGAATTATTTTATACGAGCCTTTTTTTCTGTTGCTACTTCACTGGTGAAGCAGCAACAGAAAAAAAAGGCCTAATAAGAAACCTTCGAGTACACGCGGACCCACTAGACGGTTACCGTGGCAATGAGGGAGCGACCAAGAATATCAAGGGCAGTGAAATAACTTCCACACCAGTATCCGAAGTTACCCCTCTGACACTCATCTCTTTATATATGACGATGACATTATGATTGTGACCCGAGGAACCACATCTGACCTTCCATGACATCGGGGGTTCATGACATCGTATTTTCCGACCAGCCACTCCCGTTTATATCTATCTATCTATCTATCTGTCTATCTATCTATCTATCTATCTATCTATCTATCTATCTATCTATCTCTTTTGCTTTTTTAAGGTCCAAAACGTGTTAGGCTATGTTCATTCGAACATGGTTGACAGTCAGAAGATTTCTGTGTGAAGAGAAATTAGAAAGTAAGAAAAAATAATGATAGAAGTGGCTTTCACCTCTGTAGTTTGTGAACAAATGGAGGGTATTTATGAATCATTTAACTATTGACAAGACCTTCCCACTGATGAAAAATTAATAAAAGTTGACATAAGGGTAACATTTTATCGCTTCATCTTCCGGATTTCTTGCTATATTTGCGGGAATTAACGAGCGATCCCAAGGCATGTACCCCAGGAAAACTTCCAAGACAACATTGGATTATATACCTCAACGCAAAAGCAACAATATTGCATCACACAATTGCTTTCTATTAAAAGGATCAGAAAATAAATGACCCCAAATATTTATTATATGAAATAATAATTGTAAAGAGATTATATTTTCCTGTTCCAATTTTAAATAAATAAAAAAATCAAATATAAGATTGACGATTTTCATAATAATTTCAGTATATTATTCTATTCTGATTAATAACAAGTATTTTAAAATAAAGGGACTATAATTTTAGAAACTTTTGTGTATATTTTAATGCTAACTGACACATGTCTGTAAAGTTTTTGAGAAGTTTACATTTTCAGTATCTACACTTGTAATCATTGCCTTCTATGAATTACGTTGAACCACTATATAATTCATTGCCAAAACTAGAATAAATAAATAAATAAATAGGTTTCTTGCTAGATATCTTGTTTGCCACTTCAAGACATTTGTAGTTTACATCATCTGCTACAAATTTTCTTGAATCACGATCCCGGTAAAATGACATTGAATGCTTGAAATGTTGATATAACACATCTCATATACCAACTGGCCTTGTGCTCTCCTGTATAATATACATAGTAAATGTCATTAATATCAATGTTTTCTTGTTTTGTTTTGGAAATAAATAAACCATTAATCATAGAAAATAATCCGAGAAATTCTCGATCCAATCCCAATTCCGAAACTGAAAATTTTTCAGCAACACTCGAATCAGATTTTCATCACTGTAGCATTGACAAATATTTATTTTATTTTATTCTTGTTGCTTTTTATCCCAACTACGCGGACCAATTATAGTCTAAAACAGAGAGGCTAAAAAACAGCAGAAATAAGGTTAGAGAGAAATTCGTCAATTTTATTTTTAATAATAAAAAAGATAATATTTGTAATCTAAAATTATAAATATTATCTTTTTTATCTTTTCTAGTTTTGTAATTGACCATTTTCTGATGCATTGCAAGTACAGGCGTATTGTTTCATCGCTTGTGTTGAACGTGAATCGGACATGTTTGAAACGAATATATGAAATGTTTATCGGTCACCCTTAATGGGGTACAGTCACTAATTGTACCTTCATTAAATGTTGTCCATATTCTATAAGTCACTTTTGCTTTTGCTAAAGAACTTTTGTTCTGTTAAAATTCGTACACTAAACAAACACTCACAATCAACTTCTGTGTTGCTTAATACGGAAGAGATACTCTTCTTAAGGTTACTTGTGATGTTTTGCGGAGATTTCACGTCACTAAAACGAAAGTTTTTTTAAGATTTTTAATTGCAAAGGGGGACATTAAAATCAGGTCATTCATGTTGTTTAACTCTTGAATGAATATTTCTTTTTCTTCCATTTTCAACTTTATTAACATTTGATGATTCTAGGTACTAAATAAAATGGTAAGGCAAAATATAAATTTCTGCACTTAGAAATTTTAAGATAAAAAGTGATATTAAAAATGACTCCAACCATGCAGACACCAACACTTCACGCATGTGATGAAATTTCACACCCAATTTTTGAAATATGTTAAAAAAAAACAAAGAAAAAAAGAAAAAATTGTAAAATGGATTGATTAAAAAAAACTCACAAAGCATTGAAATTACACCACACCCTAACCATATGATCATGCTAAGTCCAACGGATTTACTGGCCTGGAGTACGCCTTTAGGCGATATAAAAATGCCCGAACCTGAAATTAAAAAAAAAATGAAAGCAGAACACCCCCACATAACATGACATATGTAAATGTAAATCTCGATCGACATTTAGCAATATATATATATATATATATATATATATATATATATATATATATATATATGGTACAGGCCCCCTTGAAGGGTTTATTGTTGAAGCAACAAGTATATGTAGATAACAATGGGAACTTAGTAGCCACTAGTGTAGTAAACAATGAAAATCTTTGTTCAAACTTTAAAAAGATTTTTCTGATCATTGAGAGAATCTGCGTTTTGTACTAAATATAAACTATTCTTTTGAGGTAGAAGTCATTTCATCGTTTATTGGAATTCGCATAAACAACATTTGGTAAAACGAACTTAAATAATGAATGAAAATTTGATTTTACAAGAACCGTTAGAGGAAAAAGAAATATTTTTAATTCGAAAGTTTCTTCTCGCGAGGTTTTTCACTTTATTTCATTCAAATAGAGAAGTATGAGGGGAGAGAGTAGGGAGAGAAAGATTAATAAAATTAGAAAGGGAGAGACACACTAGAGATTAGAAAGGAGGTAGCGAGAGAATGAGAGAATGTGTGTGAGATTAATATAAAGGAGATGAAAAAGAACGACTTTTATTAACTCTTCATCAGAAAATAAGATATGGAATAAAAGAAGAAAGAAATTCTGGTATTTTTATTTTGTGTTGCTTATTTTTCATTAGTTAAGCAGGTTTCACGTGCATTCAACTTGTTAAACAAAGGTTAGTATAATTTATGCCGTTCCAAATTTAAAGAAAGACGGCGCATCTTTTCGTTAACAAATTGAATGCATGTGAAACCTGATTAACCAATAAAAATTAAACAACACAAAAATAAAAATATCAGAATTTCTTTCTTCTTTTTCACCATATCTCAGAGACGTGCTCGTGTGTGTGTGTGTGTGTGTGTGTGTGTGTGTGTGTGTGTGTGTGTGTGTGTGTGTGTGTCATGAGAGAGAGAGGTAATATTTAAGTTAAGATTAGCGAATGAGAGGGTGGGGGTAATATGAAAGGGACGGTCAGACAAACAAAGATCAATGTGGAGGTCACAGAACCACAATAATATGGAAGTGGTTGTTAGAAACTAAATATTAATATGAAACTAAAATAGCAAGAAAAAACATAAAAATTTGATAAAAAAATGACATTTCAAAATGATTTCACCTCGCTGATATACGTTACGAATTTAATCGTTTGCAATTATTCCTCTAAAATTAGAAACAAAATTATATTCAACTAATAATGCCATGTAATATATATAATAAGTAATTCATTGAACTTACCAATCATGGTGCCAACAATTAATGCAATTCCACCTATGAGGTGTAATTTTCTCTTCGGGGCAATTGCTTCATCAACAGTTACCTTCCCATTATCAGAAACATCTGACACTTGTTTCTCCACCATTGTACTGACCTGTGTTTTGAAAACAAAACAAAAAATCAGTCATATTTTTTTTTCAGCAGAGAACATACAATTTTGCATTTGATATGACTCTATTTTCTGGGTTATTGCTTTTTTAAACCCGCACAAGATTAAAGGCCTGATTTGCAATCAGGACGATTTTCAATCATGACTTTCGATATACACTGATGAGTGAAATCCTTAATACGAGCGATATGTAAGCAGAGTGACAATTGCGCATGTTAGGTGAAGAGATATATAAGCAGGTTAGGCACCCTCATTTACTTCATTTTTATGCGATGAATGCAGTTACGGGAAAAAAGACTTGAGAGACAAATTACTGTGGCTAAAAGACGGATTCAGAGATTTTCTAAATTGCAAGTTTTGTATAATGCTCACGTTCAATTGGTCAAAAGAAAAAGCAAATGCTAACTGCTGAAAACCAAACATGATCTGTCAATTCATGAAATGAATGGAGACTTTTCCAACAAAAATGATTCTAGTAACAATTGCAGGTACGTTTAATCAAGACGAAATGCATCGATTCTTATTTTATATGGGGTTGCATAGCTGTCGTCCGATCAGAGTAGCCATGCTAACCAATGTCCATCTTCAATGAGCTCGTGAGCGTCTAAACTAGACATTATACCAAGGAAATATAAGAATGACCTGTCTATCACGGCGCGATATTACCTTTCTAAATACTATCCGAAGTCTCTTTAAAAGTAATCTAGATCATAATCTGGTAAGCGAGTACAATATATGCCGGCAGGCGGCGTATGAGAAATTCTACCAAAGTTCTACTCTCCCCACCCTACACACACACACCTTGCTACTAGCCAAATCGTCTCTCATATGTTTACGTTACTAAAAGATCCATCAATTTATTTTCCTTTCTCCTCTTTGACGGAGTTATTTGGAGTGATTATAATTTTCTATCATATTCTTTGTGCCGTGTCCCTTCAGATCGTAGGCAATTATGGCTCTTCACAGCTTCTAGTCCTTTGCATCCCTTGTCTTTTTGCTATATCACCTAACCCCTGTTCTGCTAACCATTTGCATAAGCTTGTTAAATAGTTTATGCACTGCTTTTCTCTATCTCTCTTGATTTCAATATGTCCTCTAAGTGTCTAGTTTTTCAAGCCATCTTTCCTCATTATGTACCATAGAAATGTCGATAGTCTATTTTTGATGCTACGTATAAGTATCCTTTTTGTGTTTATTTTCTCTAAAACTTTGTCGCTGCTCACGTTTTCAGTCCATGGTATTCTCAGCATCCTTCTGTAGAATGGAAAGTGCGACAACAAAAGCCGAAGGCGTAATATCGCTCCTCCTATACGGCAATGAATGCTGGACCATCTCATCACAAATGAAGAATTTGAGCCATCAAATCCATTTAATTAATAAATAATAACCAAGATACACACACGCTCATGTGTTTACACTGTCTTTGTTAAACTTTTTTTTACCTTACATTTCATGAACCCGACTAACAAAACATTTTGTTAATGAGGTATTAATGGTGGTTTCGTCTTACCACTTGACATATCTTTTTCATCTGTTTTCTATACAATTTGATTTTTTACAAAGTAGATTCCATATCACCTGTTTATTATTGTAACATTGTTGGGTACTAATTAAGTAGAGATAAGAACTTTCTTCCAGAACATACGAAATAAAAGGGTTTAGTTGAGATTTGCTGGTCGGAAAGCAGCAGTCCTCCATCAGACCTTTCGAGCTGGGACAAATTTCTGTCTCTTTTATATATCTGTATTCCCCTCCTAAATTTTGGCTAAGATCCCACCTACCATGGGCTAGCTGGTTTCTTCTTTCAGCAGCAATAACTGAGAGTGAGATAAGCCGAAGATCTTTATATGTCAAGGAGCTTTCTCTAAGGGGGAGACAAGCCTTGAAACACGTGATCTTTTAAGTATAATATCACTTATGAGACACCATACTAAAAAATATAACATTTTGACGCACAAAAAATATCTTTAATTATGGTAAAAGGTTCTAGTAGTATGATTTGTATTAAGCTTTTTATTTTCGCTCAGTAAATATAGTCTTCACTTAACAACTTAATAACCAACCTCGTATTCTGTTTGGAAGAATTCTAAAACATTTTTAAAATTAAAGAAAGATGAAAACTTCTTGTAAAACTAAAAGAAAAATGCAAATAATTCTTGTAAAAATTCTTTATTCATCGAAAAAAAATTCTTCAGATAATAATGTTCTTAATGTATATTATTTATAAAAACAAATAAAAGTTTATCTAATTAGATAGTTTTATTGCAGTTTTTATTTTACGATTTGGGGCAGATTTTTAAAAAGTTGGCAGTAGTGAAAAAAATGATGATTTAATTTCTCCAAGGAGTCCTGCTTATAAGTAATATAAAACAATTTGCGAACTATTTGAAATTCTAGAAAATTTCATAAAATTAAGTTATGTGGATAACTGTTATGGTGAAACACCACTATTCTATAGTTAATAGACTCTTCCACCTAATATAAGAAGGAGTAGTGAGAGAGAAACGAGGGTCAGTCGATGTCGGACGACAGTTAGTCGAATACGAAAGTATCAGCGACCACAGCAAGATTACTCTGCGTAATACATATTATATCAAGTGCCTAACGTTTTGTACGTCGAACCTATTTTAGGACCGATTTAGTACAAATACAAGCCTCAACTGTGAAATCACTCCACAACAGTAACAAATGTAAAAAAATATTTTTACCAAGATTTTTTAAAAATAAAAATTCCATAAATAAATTCATTCATTTAATAAATTCATTTAAATAAATGCTAAAAGTTTCATTAAAATCAGACAAGTATTTGATTTTTGCAAGAATTTCCAAATTAATGGGTTCTCCCCGGAAATTGCTACACTAAAATGTCCATTACCATAAATAGTACAAAGTTGACAAAAAAAAAAGAGATTTTTGACCCAAATTTAGAATGTACTAGAATGAAGGAAAAAAATTTTGAAAAATAATTAAAAAAATATTTTGTTCTTTCCTCTTAATAATAACATAAACATTTTGACGATAAAATTTTGTTTTTATTAAGTTTGGGGCCTTTTATCATTATGCTATACTAATTTTTAACGAATTATTGGAGGTGCCTACTTTAAACCCAAATAATTCCAGATTCAAATTCAATTTATTGTAAGAAAATTCTTTTTGTTTCTCTATCAGCCTTCTAGAAAAAACAGACCCCAAGTTATTTTTGTTAGGCTAGTAAAATCCAATTTACTAAATTCGCTATTTTGGGCTTTCACATTAATCTCTCTAGTTCATTTCTATTCCAACCGCCACTGACTTGTAAACTCAACACCAGTAATTTTGTTATGGGTTTTGAAATGGATTTGTCTTAAAGCAAGCTAACCATACTAAATACTATTTCGCCTTAATAATAATCTGACACAAGGCGACACATCTCGAATACATTGTATCACAGCAACACGTACTTACCTAATTTTAATAACTGATTGCAGCACTGGCTGCTCGGTCAATGAATGCTAAATGTTTCCTTAAAAAAACAGCTAATATTATTAAGACCATTGTAGACTGCTACAACAATGGTTAACGTGACAAAATGCTTACAGAGACCTTTCCATTTTTTTTTAAGTACCTGACGCAGAAACTTGTTTTCATAATGTCGAATGCACTGAAGCAATTCTAACAGAGACACGAAAACAAAATAATCGCACTCCCACACGTAGTTATATTTAACTGTTCTTTCTATTAAAACACCAGATTGTAACTGTGAGAGCAATTTGAATCTGAAATTTGTGAAGTGAAACTTCTTTTCATTTATATTATGTTTAACTTTACTTAAGTTACTTTGCAGGTTAACATGATATTAAAAAGAAATAATGTGTTATTGTTGTTAAAAAAAATAAGGTCTGGCAAGACTTGATCAAATACCAAACAAACGTTGATAAAATGAACATCGATTTTCCTCTTTAAATGCGTACCAAATTTACACATGAGCACTTGAATTTCTGTAGACCAGGCATGGGCAACCTTTATCAAGCAGTCAGCTGCATGATCTATAGCTCTTTACAAGGTGTGCTGCTCTACTAAAGATTCAAGGTAATTCTTCGTGGTAAATACTGCAACTATTTCCACTACAGAAGATCATATGCGTAAGCATATACCTTAGAAATGGTGTTATTTTCTTTGGAGAAAAGATTTTTCTATATTTAAAAAATAGAAGTTTTGGTATTATCACTGATGTCAATGTGATTAGCACATGTCAGTGCATATGATTTATTTCTAATTCATTTGAAAATAAAAACATTTATTCTTTAGAAAAAAATATGAAGGTTTCTTGTTTCAAAAGCAAATGATATTTACACGTATGATGTTCCTTAGTGAAAAATCATCAAAGGTTTAAAATGATGAAAATGTAACTTTCACCAAAAGTTTACAAAATTCAAAAAACATCTAACTTAATCATTGTATATATATATATATGTGGTTACGTATGAGAGACTGTAAGTGAACAAGTGAAAATGAAACAAAATCAAATTTTAAGAAAAGTTATTTTCCTTATGAAATTAAGCGTGCTATTCAGAAAGAAAGGCCAAGCGGGCTGCAGTTTGTCTATGACTGTTGTAGACCGCCAGACAGATATTAGTAAAAATGTTTAGATTGTGACATAACAATATACAAGATGGACAGAGCCAAATTAAGCTAGTGTATGCATCTAGCATAGGTTTTAAAAGAGCACTAAATTTAAAAAATTACACATAAATATTAAATCATAAATTTTTAATAGCATTATAAAACTGATAAATAATTATCTTCCATCAATATAATAAACGAAACCAGAAAAACAAAATGATGCTGTTGCTGCTGCTGATGATGATGATGATGCTGTTGCTGCTGCTGCTGATGATGATGATGATGATGATGATGATGATGATGATTCTTTGTGCCGTGTCCCTTCAGGATATAGACGATCATGGTTTGCCATAATTCTGCCCTTTGTAGCTCTTAATGATTTT